CCACCTGGACGTGTGGGGCCCAGCCCGCGTTCGTGGCCAGGGCGGTGAGCGGTACTTTTTGCTGGTTGTCGACGACTACTCGCGTTACACCACGGTCTTCCCCTTGCGCACCAAGGGTGAGGTCCCTGCTGTTCTGATCCCTTGGATCCGCACAGTTCGTCTCCAGCTCCGCCGCCGTTTCCGGACGGATCTTCCTGTCCTGCGTCTGCACTCTGACAGAGGTGGTGAGTTTTCCTCCGATCTCTTGAGGACCTTCTGTCAGGCGGAGGGCATCGAGCAGACCTTCACGCTTCCGGACTCCCCACAGCAGAATGGGGTTGCTGAGCGCCGCATTGGCCTGGTCATGGAGGTCGCTCGTACCTCCTTGGTCCATGCGGCGGCTCCCCATTTTCTGTGGCCGTTTGCTGTCCGGTACGCCGCGCATCAGCTCAACCTCTGGCCCCGTGTCTCCTTGCCGGAGACCTCGCCCACACTGCGTTGGACGGGGGAGGTTGGCGATGCGTCGCGCTTCCAGGTGTGGGGTGCTCGTGCCCTTGTCCGCGATACGTCCGCGGACAAGCTCTCCTCCCGCACGCTTCCCTGTGTCTTCCTTGGCTTTGTCCCTGACGCGCCGGGCTGGCAGTTTTACCACCCCACCTCGCGCCGGGTCTTCGCCTCTCAGGACGTCACCTTTGACGAGTCGGTCCCTTTTTACCGTCTCTTCCCCTACCGCACTGCCCCCCTCCCTCCCCCGCCGCTTTTCCTTGCTCCTGGTCCCCCTCCGGTAGACCCCCTTCCCCCTCAGGGTCCTGCTCCTTCAGGTGTCTCTCAGGTAGACCCTCCTCCCGTCGCTGAGCCTGTCGAGGTCACAGGTGACTCAGGTGCTGCTGCAGGTGGTGCTGCTGGGAGTGCTGAGCCTGGGGGTGCTGAGCCTGCGGGTGCTGGGCCTGGGAGTGCTGGGACTGCGGGTGCTGGAGCTGAGGGTACTGTGCCTGGGAGTTCGGCGCCTGGGGGTGCTGAGCCTGGGGGTGCTACGACTGGGGGTGCTGAGCCTGCGTGTACGGAGTCTGGGGGTGCTGAGCCTGGGGGTACTGCGCCTGAGGGTACTGGGCCTGGGGGTGCTGCTGCTGAGCCTACGGAGCCTGGGGTTGCTGCGTCTGGGGGTGCTCTTCCTGACGGTACTGGAGCTGCTGGAGCTGACGACGCTGGAGCTGACGGTTCTGGACACGGTGGTCCTGCTGGTTCTGGAGGTGCTGGCGAGGGGAGGTCTGACGCTGCTGGGGCCTCTGGTGCTGACGTCGCCGACTCGGGGGGTGCTGCGGCGGAGGGTGCTGGTCCAGGTGCTTCTGGTGCTCCGGGTGCTGGAGGTGCTGGCGGAGCTCCGCCGTCGCGCCTGTTCTTCGCTCCTCCGTCGCCGTCGGCTTTGCCGCCGCCTGACACGGTGCTTCGCCAGGTTCTTTCCCTCCCGTCTTCCACTGGCCTTCCCCTTCAGCCTGGCTCCCCCCTCCCTGCTCCTGTGCCTTACACTGCGCAGCCGGACTCGCTTACGGAGCGTCGTGAGCCTGCGTCTCGTCCTGCCTCGCCTGTTCGCGCTGCTCGCGCTGCTCGCACTGCGCGCACTGGTCCCACTGGTCGTCGTGTCGCGCGTCCGCGTCCTCCTCCTGTTCCTGGCACGCATATTATGGCCCTTCGTCCTTCCACTGGTCCACAGCGTGTCCCCCTACCGTCTCCTCCTGCGTCTTCTCTTACTGATGTTCCCGACCCTGAGTCTGACAGTGTTCGTGCTGCCCACCCTACTGTTACGCGTCTTCTCGCCACTGTTGTCACTGACCCGTCGTTTGAGTCTGCTGCTGCGTCTGCCCTGGTCGCTGAGCTTGTTGACTTTACTGCTGCCTGTCGTCTAGACTACGCCGCCAGTCTTGTTGCTGAGTTTGAGTCTGTCTGTCCTCCGTCCGTCGGGGGTGAGTGTGCTCTTGGCACGGACGTCCTTGAGGACAGGCAGGAGGACTTTGACTCTCTTGCGGCTGCTGTACCTCATCTCGTGGCCTGGTTGCTTGCCCCTGAGGGAGACCCGGATGCACTAGACATCCCCACTCCGCGCTCTTACGCAGAGGCGATCTCGGGTCCCTACTCCTCTCAGTGGCAGACAGCCATGGACGCAGAGATGGCATCCTGGAAGTCCACAGGCACCTACGTCGACGAGGTTCCCCCTCCTGGGGCGAACATCGTCGATGGCATGTGGATTTTCAGGGTGAAGCGGCCGCCAGGTTCTCCACCTGTCTTCAAGGCTCGTTACGTTGCTAGAGGCTTCAGTCAGCGTCAGGGGGTTGACTTCTTCCAGACCTTCTCCCCCACCCCGAAGATGACCACTCTTCGGGTTCTGCTACACGTTGCTGCTCAGCGTGACTACGAGCTTCACTCTCTTGACTTCAGCACAGCGTTCCTGCAGGGCAGCCTGCATGAGGAGATCTGGCTGCGCCGCCCACCTGGCTTCACTGGGTCGTTTCCTCCTGGTACCCAGTGGAGCCTCCGCCGGCCAGTCTACGGTCTCTGCCAGGCGCCACGTGAGTGGCACGACACACTGAGGACTACACTTGCAGCTCTTGGGTTCGCGCCGTCTACTGCTGACCCGTCGCTGTTTCTACGCACAGACACGTCGCTACCGCCGTTCTACATTCTCGTGTACGTCGACGACTTGGTCTTTGCTACTGCTGACACTGAGGCACTCGCTCGTGTGAAGTCGGAGCTGCAGAAGAGACACACCTGCACTGACCTGGGTGAACTGCGTAGCTACCTTGGCTTGCAGATCACCCGGGACAGAGCTCGCCGCACCATCACCCTGACTCAGTCACACATGGTGCAGCAGGTCCTTCAGCGCTTCGGCTTCCAGTTCTCCTCACCACAGGCCACACCTCTGGCTACCAGCCACTCGCTCTCAGCTCCACCTTCGGACGAGTCCGTAGAGCCGAGTGGCCCGTACCCAGAGCTTGTAGGCTGCCTCATGTACCTGATGACTTGCACGCGACCTGACCTCGCGTACCCTCTTAGCATCCTTGCTCGTTACGTTGCGCCTGGGAGACACAGGCGAGAGCACTGGGAGGCTGCTAAGAGGGTGCTGCGTTACTTGTGCAGTACATCAGGCATGGGGCTGGTGCTTGGAGGACGCGACAGAGTTGTCCTCACTGGTCACTCGGACGCTTCTTGGGTTGACGACCTGACTACGCAGCGGTCGTCACAGGGTTACACCTTCAGCCTTGGCTCTGGTTCTGTCTCGTGGCGGTCCACCCGCTCTTCCTCTGTTCTCGGCTCTAGTTGTGAGGCTGAGATCTACGCCACAGCCATGGCTGCACAGGAGTTACGCTGGCTCACCTACCTGCTGACTGACTTGGGAGAGCGGCCTAGTTCTCCTCCAGTTCTGTACGGTGACAACAAGGCGGCCCTTGCCTTGTGTCAGGAGCACAGACTGGAGCACAGGACGAAGCACATTGCTCTTCGCTACTTTCTTGCTCGAGAGCTTCAGCAGCGCGGTCAGCTTCGGCTTGTGTACGTGGACTCGAAGGCCAATACTGCTGATATCTTCACCAAGGCGCTCCCGCCTAGTGATCATCAGCGGCACTGTACTTCTTTAGGCCTTGTGTCCACGTTTCCTCATTTGCTTACTGCTTGACTTTCTTTGTACTGTACTTTATATATATCTTGCTGCTTGTCCTGTTCTATATCTAGCACTGCATGTGAACTGGCCTTGTGGCCTTTGCTTGTGCTCGGAGTGTGGTGACGTTGTGATCCACCCTGGGCTTTGCTTTGCTTTGCTGGACTGGTCTTGTGACCCTTTGTTCTCCCCCACTTTGCCTATGGGGGTGTGTTAAACTGTATTATGTTGGTAGGCTGTAGTGGGGTAGCCAATATGGGGTACAACCCCAACTAGGGTTTGCTACTTGTACCCAATTCTTCCATTCAATGCATCATTCTTGCCTAGTTGTTCTGAAAGGTTACTGTTTCAGTCTGGGAGCTGGAGCTGTGTCGTGGAGGTCCACGCGGTCGTCGTCGGTGGCTTCGTCCAGTGCGGAGGCAGAGATCTACGCCGGTGCTATGGCTGCGCAGGAGCTTCGCTGGTTGACCTTCTTGCTCGCTGACCTTTGTGAGCGGCCTCGCACTGCTCCGACCTTGTTCGCTGACAACAAGGCCATGATTCTCTTGTGTCCCGAGCCTTGACTGGAGACCAGGGTGAAGCACATCGACGTTCGGTACTTCCTCCTGCGTGAGTTACAGCGACGCGGCCAGGTGCGGTTGGACTTTGTGCCCTCAGAGGCCAACACTGCTGACTTGTTCACCAAGGCCTTGGCGCCTGGTGATCACCACCGGTTCTGTGTCCAGTTGGGACTTGTTGAGGCAGGTCATAGGTTGCTGTAGACTTGTTCCTTCCTCTCCTTTTTGTGTTTTGCTGTTATATATCATAGTGAACTCTTGAACTGGCCTTGTGGCCGCTTGCTTGTGCTCGGAATTTGTGTGGTGTCCTTGAGATCCACCCTGAGTTTGTTTCTTGCATTGATTGGTCTTGTGACCGTTTGTTCACCGAACTTGCTTGCTTTGATGCCCCTCACTTAGCCTATGGGGGTGTGTCAAATATTATTATAGGTTCTTTAGGCTACAGTGAGTAGCATACTAGGGAGTACGAATGTTCTAGGGTTGCTTTTGTGTCTCTCTCGACACTAGTCTCACCATTCCGTTGCGCATCTCTCTAACTCTAAGAGGCTTGTGGTGCATGCATCGAGCTCAGGGTGCAGATGCACTTGATATGCTAGTCCCTTTCAGTCAGTCAATTAATTACAGTAACTCGCATCTACCGTAATGTGCTGATTTCATCCTGGTTTCCTTACAAGGGCAAATATTATTCTCACTCTTGAAGAGCAATGAGACATTGACATGTTACCTACAAAGGCTCACATTCACAGGCATCTCCACCCTGCAGAGATCACAACACTGCATGAACCCCTGGCAATGCACTTGTAACCACGTGCTTCTTACTTCACCTTCACAACCTTCCCGCAGAGAGCGAACAGGTTCTGCTTTTGCCCTACAACCACATGCGATGACGTCACAACACTAGCCAAAGCAGCGCGCGCATCAGCCTCCTTCACCGCATTGATCCACTGGTCGTAAGCAAAGCTGTAACGCTTATGGCGTGCAGCGTTGGCGCTCGTGATGTTTGTCATAGAAACCGGCGCGGAGACTTTAATTGCGGGGCAGGAAGCTCCAAAAGCCATCATAGGCATATCTCCTCCCTTGAGGTTCAGGAATCGCATCTTGATGAGCACCCTATAGGACGGTGCAGAGTACCTGCCATGCCAATTGACAGGGCAAGGAGAGATAACAGTCAGGAAATACCTCCACAGCACATTCCCCTTCAAGATTGCTGCTAGGGTCCTGCGCGAATGGCTCCTCTCTCCCCAGTGCAAGCACTTGCTCAAGTCTCACAAGTCACAAGGCTTGCAGAAGTCATCGTACCTCACAACCTTGAGCATCATTTTCCCCGAAGCTCCTTTGTCGCCCGTAAATTTCCCTTTGATCTTGGTAGGTTGCAGATTGACCGTGTATTTCACTAGAGGCGGGAATCACAGGAGGGGGGAGACGAAAAGTCGTCTATTGAGGTGTCTCAAAAATTCATTTTCCCGTTGATCTTGGTAGGCTGCAGAGAGACCACGTGTTTCACTAGAAACGGGAATCACGGGAGGGATTGGGAGGACCGGGAAGTTGGTAGTAACGGAAATATGAAAGTTTGGGAAGCCGGGGAAGAGAATGACGAAAATTTCTCATGGATGGCTGTGGCACAGACCAGCTATGCGCGCATATCAACTGCAGCCAGCAGCACATATCATCCCGGCACCATATTGTACGGGTCGTTGCACACACTGTGTGTGACACCACACTTCAGCTGTACTTCAGCACACAAATCAGCTGTAGCACACGCAGCACAGCTGTAGCACACGCAGCGCACACTTCAGCTGCAGCACACACAGCGCACACTTCAGCTGCAGCACACACAGCGCACACTTCAGCTGCAGCACACGCAGCGCACGCTTCAGCTGCAGCACACGCAGCGCACGCTTCAGCTGCAGCACACGCAGCGCACACTTCAGCTGCAGCACACGCAGCGCACGCTTCAGCTGCAGCGCACATCAGCTGTAGCACGCAGTTCACCTGCAGCGCACACTTCACCTGCAGCCGTAGCAAACATCAGGCATTGGCGAGCTGGGCAGATTCATAATGCACGACTCTAAAGTCTTGACAAACTCCCGGGTGTTACATTGGCCGCCAGGCACTTACGGATTGTCGTTCCCTTATATTTCAGAGGCCCTGCCTGAGCGGCGGTAGAAGCGGCAGAAGAGGCAGAAGCGGCAGAAGAGGCAGAAGAGCCGCCGTCGTGAGAGAGAAGCGGCGCGAGCAACTTTACGGCAGACGCGCCGTATGCAGTGCAGACCGTCACACCTGCAGGCATGCAAGGAGGCAGAACGATTTGAAACATCATAATGACGTGGCTCACGAGAGCTCAACGATAGCACTTGATGAAACTGCCTCCTGGGTTATCCGACCGAGAATGTAGAAAACAGCAGTCAAATGGCTGTAATTGATGACAACAGCTTGCAGCGGCACTCTGGATTTGCAGCGCTTACAGAGCAGCAGGCGGCAGAGGAGAGATGCGCGGCGCTCCATGCTGATCTAGTAAAACGCTTCGTCGTCGGCTTGGCTTTTGGCAGTAGTACCGGATGGAGTCACTGGCGCAGACTTGCGGATGGTGGTTTGCCATAGCCACTGCGTGAATATATGGACTGGCGATCGCCAGTGGCGGCGGCGCGCGGCGTGGTAATCTTGTGTCCCAGAACAAGGAGAACTAGCTAAAGGTGAGCCGTATGAAACGGGCCGCTGCATCCGAGTCCAGGAAACTGTACGGATCCGTACAGAATATGCCGTACAAAAAGTGGAGTCCGCTCAAGTTCGTACGCCCGCATTAGGATTACGTCACCTCAGGTAACCTAGTAGGCTAGGAATTAAGCCGACCCGCGCTGACGAAGTAAGTGTGATGCAATTGTGACCACCAATTCGTTCTGACAGCTGGAAGGAGAAGAAACGTGGGAAGGATCGAGGGTACTGAGCTTGGAGGCAGGCTTCCAAATTCAAACCCTCCGCATCGTGGCTTGAGCGCGCTCCGGCGCGCTTGTGATCGACGCTGACGCGGGGCGGGAGCCGCAGTAACTAAAAGCAGCTTCATTTTATTAACTTAATGGGAGGGAAGAATCCCAAAGCTAATAAGTTATTGGCATCATGTTGCTGCTAATGATTAGAAGTGACTTCTTTCCGAGAAGGCCAATCGGCACTCGCTTCGCGATGTCGACATGTATTGCAGGGAAGGGAACACACACACTCGCTGCGATGCGAAACCTTCATAACCCTGAGAACTTGGAGTTAGTACCCACGCAGCAAGTGGTGGTACGGCACCTATGGATTAGGCAACCCGCGCTGACGAAGGATAAGAAAAGTTTATCCTTACCTGAGATTGGATGAGTTCTGACAGCTGGAAGAAATAGACGCGTGGGAAGGATGGTTGAACGGGCTCAGCTTGGAGGGTAGGGCAGGGCTTCGGCGCCCCAAATGGCACGGAAAGTGAGGGCCACCGAACTCCAGGCCCATGTTTTCGTGAGCGTTGTCTCAGAGTCGTCGCAGCGTCGCAAGAGCATGTTACAACTTTCAATTCGTAGATATACCGTACAGAAATAAATGTTTCTGAAGATACTGTTACGAGTTATTAAAAAAATGTGAGGAAGCAATCCAATCACAATTGCAACACCTAGTTTCGTCAGCGCGGGTCGTCTTATCCCTAGGTGCCGTACCACCACCCGCCGTCTCGTTAGGTACTAGCCCTCAGGGCGATGTTCGGCTGCTCGGAATCGCGAGTGTGTGGCCTACAATGAATGACAAGCGACGTGAAGTGGGTGCTGATTGCAAATCAACTATTTTGCGTTCCATGATACCCTGGCTTTCGGGTGAACCCAAGAGAAAAATCTAGTCGAGATGGTTCAGCACGAACTGTACGGCTCGGAGCGCACTCCGCTCCTTGTAAGGCTATCACCGTACGGATCCGTACAATTGCCCGAATGGAGTCGGATGCAGCGGCCCCTTCGTACGGCTCACCTTTAGCGGGTTCCCCTTGTTCTGGTCCACACGATTCCCACGCGGCGCGCCGCCGCCATTGGCGATCGCGATATCCATATATTCACACAGTTGACTGTTTAGCAATCCACCACCATCCGCAAGTCTGCGCCAGTGACTCCATTCGGTACTGCTGCCAAAAGCCAAGCCGACGACGAAGCGTTTTAGATCAGCATGGAGCGCCGCGCATCTCTCCTCTGCCGCCTGCTGCTCTGTAAGTGCTGCAAATCCGGAGTGCCTTTGCCTGCTCTTGCCATCAATCACAGCGATTTTACTGCTGTTTACTACTCTTTTGGTCGGATTACCCAGGAGGAAGCTTCGTCACGTGCTATCGTTGAGCTCTCGTGAGCCACGTCATTATGATGTTTCAAATCGTTTTACCTCCTTGCATGCCTGCAGGTGTGACGGTCTGCACTGCCTACGGCGCGACTGCCACATCGTTTCTCTCGCTGCTCCCTCGCGACAGCGGCTCTTCTGCCGCTTCTACCGCTCAGGCCACGCCTACGGTGTGGCAGGGAAAGACAATCAGTAAGTGCCTTCAGCTGTCAATGTAACGCCCGGAAGTTCTCCAAGCGTTGACAGCAGTGGCCACTTGTACGGAGTCAGACAGGCGGCCAGCGTGGACTGTAATTTCGTGGTGGGGCGCATCGAGTCCTTGCGGGTAAGAGTAATACCTGAAAAATCTCCTGCATCATTAATGAATCTGCGCAGCTCGCCGTGCTTGCTACAGCTGATGCGTTTGCTGCAGGGCTTAGAGGCGGTGTAACGCCTGTGGGTTGTGTTAAAGGGCATCCACTGCACCCAAATAACACCTTCTCGTTTTGACCCAGCGGGTAGCGAGGCGTTATAGGCGGGGCGTATGGAGCGAGGTGACTTTTGAGTCGACTCAAAAGTCACCTTGTTATAGGCGGGGCGTATGGAGCGCTTGCAGGTAATGGTAAAGCCTGATCAGTCTGCACCATGAATGAATCTGCGCAGCTCGTCATGCTTGCTGCAGCTGAAGTGTGCACTGCAGCTGAAGTGTGCACTGCAGCTGAAGTGTGCACTGCAGCTGAAGAGTGTGCTACAGTTAAAGTGTGATACAGATGATATCATGTCCTGCCGGCTGCAGCATCTGCGTGCGAACTGCTGTCTGCCAGTTAGTTCATCTAGTCAAGGCGTGCTTGCCCTTGTCAGACTTCCCTGGCTTTCCAATCCTTCACATCCCCCTTTGCCACCTCCCAATCCTTCACATTTTCCAGATTATGCCACCTGAGATGCAGCAGCCACTACTTACTTTCCTATCTTCCCGATCCCTCCCATGATTCCAGTGAAATACGTGGCCATTATGCATCCTACCAAGGTGAACGGGAAAGTAGTTGGCGACAAAGGAGCTTCGGGGAGAATGGAGTTTAAGGCAGTGAGGTACGCCACTGCTGTGCCCACGTTCCTTTGTGCCACTAGCGGTGACACAGTTCCTATGGAGTCACAATGATTCTTGCACACCTTGTGACTTGGATCCTCATACCATTTCTTGAGACGTCCACAAACATCCGTTATGTGCTCTTGTGAGACTCGAGCAAGTGCTTGCACTGGAGCGAGAGGAGCATCTCGTGCAGCATCCTTAACAGCAATCCTGAAGGGGTCTGTGCATGGAAAGCATTCCCTGATTGTTATCTCTCCTTGACCTGTATATTGGCAGGTTCTCTGCAACGTCCTACAGGTTTATATATAAGCTCCGACTCTTCAATCTCAAAGGAGGAGAAACGCCTTGGATGGATTTTGCACCAACCTGCTTCACGACTCTTCGCTACAACTCTGAAGCGACTAACATCACAAGTCCCAAGGATGCACGCCGTAAGCGTTACAGCTTCATTTACGACTTCGTGGGTCATGTGGGGACCGAGGCTGATGCCCGTGCTAATGTGTGGAGTTTAGTGTCGTCAACGCACGCAATTGTGGGGCGCACCGGTATGCAGTATGCTCTCTGTGGTAAGGTTGTGATAAAGAAGGAGTAGTAAGGAAGGAGCATATGGGTGCAAGTGCATTGCCAGGGTTTCATGCAGCGCTCTGATTACTGGAAGTGGGGATGCATGTGGATAGTAACATGTAAATGTTGTATTGCTCTTCAAGAATGAGAGTTGATACGGTATTAAAAATTCCAGAAATTCCATAGAGCATCTTATAGCCGAAACCCAAGCATCCTATACCCGGTAATCTAAGGCTCCTACCTCCTTGCCTACTATATGTTTCACTATTGAGCCCCAGTCAAGAACATTCCCTTTCGTACAACATACGTTTCCTCCTCGCCGCGCGCCTGGTTCAACATACGCAGGGCGGCTGCGTACCGCATTCGCTGCCTGGGAAAGAAGACTACAGTTTCCAACACGAGCGATGGCGACAGAGTCAAGCGACGACAAGCAACGAGCAACGAATGACGTGCGACGCGCGACGCGTGACGGACTACAAGCGGTGACGACAGCTGACGAGCGAAGGTCGGCGGCTATCGACCAACTTAGTCGTCGCGCGGCGTGCGACGAATATTAGCCGCACGCGAGCGACCATCGCGGTTATCGTGGTGAAAGGGACGGAAAGGCGGTGGTGTTTTATTAGAGGAAAGCTTTGTCAAAAAAAAAAATCATTCAAGGACTTCGGCACGGGGGAACCTAGAGTAGCCACCTCACCTCTCTTCATGGCTGATTAGCTATTTCACGCATTTGGCATAGTATTTGCCAAACCACCATCCGCAAAAGTGCCAACGACCTTACTCTGTCGGTACTACTGCCAAGCCGATCCGACGAGGCATTACGATCAGCATGGAGCGCCGCGAGTTATCTTTCCTCTGCCGTCTGCTGCTCTGTAAGCCCTGCAATCTCAGAGTGTGCTGCGGCGGCGGCCTACTGCCTCGGTTTCTGATAACTGGCGTCGTTGACTGGGACTACTATATACAAATCTCGTTTATTGAGACGTAAAAAAAAAAAAGTTACTGCGTGAGTCATTGACTGCGGCTGTTTACATTACCCGTCGGGTAACCTAGCGGTAGTTTCGTCACGTGCTAAGTCCCAAATCGGCGTGCTGCCTGCAGGTGCGACTATCTGCACTGCCTACGGCGAGGCGTCTGCCACGTCATCAGTCGCGCCGCTCCTCTCTCAAGACGGCGGCTCTTCTGCCGCTTCAGCCGCTCAGACGACCAAGCCCCTGGTTTGGAAGGGAAAGACATTGGGTAAGTGACATTGGGTTTAGCAGTCAGTACTAGTGATGGTGGATGATTTGGCAAACGCGTGTTTGACAGCAACGTTATCAGGCACTGCAGAAAAGAGGTGACTGTGTGATCCCCGCGCGTTGAAAACACTGGTTGCAGTGATAGCTGAAATGTCTCCACGCTCGTGCAACTGCGCTCGTCAATGGCTGATGTGTGTGCTGCAGCTGATGTGCGTGCTATGGTCGGTGTGTGCTACAGCCGGTGTGTGCTACAGCCGGTGTGTGCTACAGTCGGTGTGTGTATTAGCTGGTGTGTGCTACAGCCGGTGTGTGCATCAGCTGGTGTGTGCTACAGCCGGTGCTCTGCTACAGCTAATGTATGCCATGGTGTATGCTTCAACTGGTGTGTGCTACAGCCGGTGTGTGCTACAGCCGGTGTGTGCTACAGCCGGTGTGTGCTACAGATGGTGTGACATCATGTCAAGTCATGCTTGTCCTTGCGTGAGAGCCATCCATGAACAAATTCCATATTCATTCACTTCCCAGGCTTCCTGATCCTTCACATCTTCGTTTAAAGTGTCAAACATTATATATGTTGTGTTTGTGTAGGCTGTAGTGGGTTAGCCTATAGGGGGGTCACAACATTAGGGTTTCATATTTGTACTCACCATCCTTTCTAGTTCCCCATTCCTGCCTGTTCATTCTGACATGGTATCAGAGCAGGTCCTTTGCTAGGACCGCTCTTAGGGCCCACCGCTACCTACCTACCTACCTACCTATCGTGCGCCCTCGTGCGCCCTCGTGCGCCTTAGCGCCCTTGTGCGCCTCTACCTACCGCACGCCCTCGTGCGCCTTAGCGCCCTCGTGCGCCTCTACCTACCGCGCGCCCTCGTGCGCCTCTACCTACCGCGCGCACGCAGCCCGCTAGCCACCCGCGCGCGGCTCGTTTTTAACGCGCGCGACTCGCTAGCCGCCCGTGCGCGGCCGATTTTTCGCGCGCGCGCCTCGCTAGCCGCCCGCGCGCGGCCGATTCTTCGTGCGCGCGACCAGCTAGCCGCCCGCGCGCGGCTTAGGGTTTGTCACGCGACCCGTCGCAGCCTTGTGCGGCTCCGCGCACTGCCCGCGAGCTGCCCGCCGCTGCAGGCTCTCGCCGCCCGCCGCGTCGCCTTTCCCGTGGCGTCGTCACCTCCCTACCCGCTCGTGGCGGCCCTTTCAGCCGCCGTCGCGGCTCCTTACCCACGCATCGCGGCCCCTTAGCCGCCCGTCGCAATCCCTCAGCCGCCCCTTCGCGGCTTCGACTTCGTCTGCAGCAGCTGCCGCTACCGAACCTGCAGCAGCAGCCGCCGCCGACCTGCAGCAGCTGCCGCCGCCGAGCCTGCAGCAGCAGCCGCCGCCGACCTGCAGCAGCTGCCGCCGCCGAGCCTGCAGCAGCAGCCGCCGCTCGACCTGCAGCAGCTGCCGCCGCCGAGCTTGCAGCAGCAGCCGCCGCTCGACCTGCAGCAGCTGCCGCCGCCGCGCCTGCAGCTGCAGCCGCCACCGACCCTGCAGCAGCAGCCGCCGCCGAGCCTACAGCAGCGGCCGCCGCCGACCCTGCAGCAGCAGCCGCCGCTCGACCTGCAGCAGCTGCCGCCGCCGAGCCTACAGCAGCGGCCGCCGCCGACCCTGCAGCAGCTGCCGCGGAGCTCCCTGCTACGACCTGGCCCCGCCCCGCTGTTGCAGCGGCCACGCTGTCGCCACTGTCTTGCGCCCGCCGCACCAACCACTGGTGAGCTTTGCCGTGCTAGCACTGCTACCGTTACTGCTGCTGCTACTGCCTTTACTGCTCCTGCTGTTGCTGCCGCTACTGCTGCTGCTCCTGACGTGGCCAGATGCAGCTCCAGCAGGCTCGTGAGTGGTACGCCGGCTTGGGCAGTCGGGGTGGCCGTAGTGGTAGTCGCTCTGGAGTGCGTCGTTCGGGAGCCTCTGGTAGTAGACCGGTGCAGCAGACGTGCCCTCTTCTGCTCCAGCAGGCTCGTGAGTGGTACGCCGGTTTGGGCAGTCGGGGTGGCCGGCGTGGTAGTCGCTCTGGCGTGCGTCGTTCGGGAGCCCCTGGTAGTGGACAGGTGCAGCAGCCGTGCCCTCTTCTGGTCCAGCAGGCTCGTGAGTGGTACGCCGGTTTGAGCAGTCGGGGTGGCCGTAGTGGTAGTCGCTCTGTGAGTGAGGCAGCCGCTCTCGGTGCCAGTACGTCTGTTGCCCTCGGTGCAGGTGAGGCTACCACTCCCGGTACTCGCGTGTCTGCTACTCCAGGTGCTGGTGAGCCTACTGCTCTAGGTGCTAGTGCGTCTGCTGCTCCAGGTGCTCGCGTGTCTGCTACCCCAGGTGATGGTGAGGCTGCTGCCCTAGGTGCTAGTGCGTCTGTGCCCCCTGGTACTGAGTCGACTGCAGCACTGCACACCTTCACCCTGGACTCAGGTGCTTCTCGCTCTTTCTTTCGTGACCGCACTGTCCTTGAGCCACTCGCTCGGCCAGTTGCTGTCTCCCTTGCTGACCCCTCTGGGGGTCCGGTCATTGCGACCTCCTCCACTGTCCTTCCTTGTCCTGCGGTCCCGTCCGGCACGCTGTCAGGTCTCTACCTCCCCTCGTTCTCTACGAACTTGGTGGCGGGTTGTGCGCTCCAGGACTCGGGTGTTCACCAGTTCACCCCTGCCTACGAGCGCGTGACACACTGCACGTGTGCTCGGACGGGTCGCCACCTGGCTACTTTCACTCGAGAGCCGGGGTCGGACCTGTACACACTGACCACTGAGTCCCCTCAGGTAGCTGCGTCTGCGTCTACGTCTGCGTCTGCGTCAGGTCAGCTGTCCGCCCCCTGCTCGTGTCGCTCTCTGGCGCATGAGACTGTCCTTTGGCACCACCGCCTTGGTCACCCGTCTGTGCAGCGCCTTCGGGCCATGCACAAACGGGACCTTGTTGCTGGTCTTCCCAGGGTGCTCCCTCCCCTTCCCGACTCACCTGCTCCTCCCTGTCTTCCCTGTGTCGAGGGGCGGCAGCGCGCCACTCCTCACTCCTCCTCCTTTCCCCCGACGACTGCTCCTTTGCAGACGCTCCACATGGACGTGTGGGGCCCAGCCCGCGTCCGTGGTCAGGGTCAGGAGAGGTACTTCCTGATTGTTGTTGACGACTTCTCGCGCTACACCACGGTCTTCCCCTTGCGCACCAAGGGTGACGTCCCTGATGTCTTGATCCCTTGGATCCGCAGATCTCGTCTCCAGCTTAGTGAGCGTTTCCGCTCCGACTTCCCTGTCCTGCGTCTGCACTCTGACAGAGGTGGAGAGTTTTCCTCTGGCCTCTTGGAGGCCTTCTGTCAGCAGGAGGGCATTGAGCAGTCGTTCACGCTTCCGGCCTCTCCACAGCAGAATGGGGTTGCTGAGCGCCGCATTGGCTTGGTCATGGAGGTCGCTCGTACCTCCTTGGTTCATGCGGCTGCCCCCCACTTTCTGTGGCCGTTTGCAGTCCGATACGCTGCGCATCAGCTCAACCTCTGGCCCCGTGTCTCCTTGCCCGAGACTTCTCCGACACTGCGTTGGACGGGAGAGGCTGGCGATGCGTCGCGTTTTCGGGTCTGGGGATCCCGAGCTTTTGTCCGCGACACGTCCGCGGACAAGCTCTCCCGTCGCGCTGTCCCTTGCGTCTTCCTTGGCTTTGTCCCGGACGCCCCTGGTTGGCAGTTCTACCACCCCACCTCGCGGCGTGTCCTGGCCTCTCAGGACGTCACTTTTGACGAGTCCGTCCCCTACTACCGCCTCTTCCCCTACCGCACTGCCCCGCTCCCCCCCCC